AATCTTTGTACCGAATATTGTCGAAAAATTAAATTTCAAAAATGAATCATCCTAGTTTAATTCATATAACATGGTCACCCTAAATAGCGAATTCGTAAGGAATATTCAGAAGTGATTTGTTTTTCAGATACCGAACATATACAATGTTGATCTGTGCATATGTATTTAGTAGACCGTTTATACTAAATGTTAGTGTCTCTGGTATTTTATTCCGTTTTGATCTCAGGTAGGTACAGTCAATTATTTATTATGCAGACGTCACGATTGAGGAGCCAAATGAAATGCATTTATTTATTAAATTCGCTCAGTCTACTACTTTGTCCATATACTACAAATTCGAACACACTTACTACTAAATGTCTTTAGAGTGGAATATAAATTGACCAATAACTTTCATGGCAATTCATGCTCTTGTGTATAGATCGAGGAGCCACATTAAAAGTATTGTATATTCTTGAATATAAACAATACTGGGCTCAAATTTTTAGTAGACACTATACACAATTGCTACTAAATGATACAAAATTTTCAAAAATATACATGAAATACTTTCCGTGTTTCAGGTGGCTCCTCAATTCAGATGTTTGGATTGAGGAGCCACATTCACAGTTACATAACTTTAGACATATTATACTACAAATTTCAGAATTCGGTCTACAAAATTATTTACTTCCCTACTAAATAAGGGGGCGAGCTTCCTTTTTAAATCGAAAGTGGCTCCTCCATCCATACGGACATATTAGAGCGCCGAACGAGGTCTTCTACCAATCTACAACTGTTAAAAAAAATTAAAAAATATCTATATAGAACTGACATTATAAATAATCTAAATATGTGAAAATTAAATAGTCGCTCTTATCGTAAACAGTACAAATAAAACTTTAGAATAATGGTGTAATTTGAGTGAAATTTTTATTTATTAAAAGTTTTTACGAAATATTTTGTAATAAATCTCTACGTTACTTCTTAATAAACTAGACGAAATAACCTTGTATAATATATCATTACGTAGAATCAGCAGTATAACATAATAATAAATCAAAACAAACTACCCATAATTCCGGTATGAATTTAGTATCGCCTCTGATGACGAAATCGCGGCAAGATGGCCGACCATCTAAGGGTGCACGCTTTATTTTGTTAGAGAAATAGGTTGGTATTTTATTGGTTAAAAGATATTAATAATTATATTTAAATGATAGGCAGATTGTAGGTATACATTATGTATTAATAAAAAGAATATAAATAAATGTATAAAGTTATGGTTTGTGGTATGCTTTAAAACAACCGTCAACACATAGATTTACGTCGCACTCCTCGCATTTCCATATAGTTCGGGTTTTTTTTGGGCACAACCAGCAACAGGTGTACTTCGACCCCGTACGAATAGGGAAATGGTTGGCTTCAACAATCGGTCTGGCTTGCGTCCTGTGGTGAATGTTACGTTGTGTCGTCGTCTTCACCGGTGAAGTCGTGCTTGCTCTTCCGTTCAAACGCCGGTATTCAGTCGTCAAGTCAATTTGTCTATGTCGTCTAAGTAAGTCTTCGGCCAATTCAGTGCGAAACTGACGATGTGATATTTTCCGGTGAACACTGGAAAATATCACAAAGCAGTTGAATATGGCGGCATTGTACATTCGGCGGAAAAGTTTCTTGTACCAAACCTTGTTCTTGACACGTTCCATGGGATGAGCTGATAAGAATTGATCTTTCCTATCAACTCCTCCCATGCTCTTATTGTAGTCCAGTACAATATTCGGTTTGTAAGTCTGTCTATTGTATTTGTCTTGAGACCCGATTTGAAGATTATGGTATGTAGAGATCAAACTAACTAGATTAGCGTCTCGCCATACCATAATAGCTAAATCGGAACAGTACGTAGCCACTACTTCACCTTGTCGAAGTTCAGTCTTTGTTAAATTCTTGACTGTATCAGGAACGAATTCCCGATTCAGTCTGAGTGTCCCATAACAGTCCGTCTTGTTCTTTTTCAAGCTCCGCAATAATAATGGACTATTATAAAAATTGTCCATTATTACAGTGTGCCCGCGATGAAGTAGTGGCTCGATCAAATCGTAAACAATTCTAGCAGTAGCAGTCACGGGACGGTCTCCGTGTTCACCACTCCTAGATCCGTCAGTCGTTGCATCATTAGTGGATCTGTCGTCGTCTTCGCCAAGTCCGTCAATGGCTTCCTCCTCGTCTGATCTGTCCGTGGCGTCAGAAGTCGAGGTCGGTTTGTCTTTTCCAGCGTAAACGAAAAACTTCCAGAGATAGCCAGTAGATGATTCACAAAGCTCGTAGGTTTTCACCCCGACTTGTGCAGCCTTCGACGATATCTTTTGTGTAAAGCTTAATCGCCCATGCCACTTTAAAAGCGATTCATCTATGGCTATTTCTTGTGAAGGCATGTACAGGCTGGAAAACTTGTTGTTGAAATAGTCAATCACGGGTCGAATTTTACAAAGTCTAGTCGTGTCCGTGCAAGTCTGGCTGTCGACGAAATGGAGAAAGGTTTTTAGCAATAAAAACCGGTTGTAAGTCATGATTTTGGCAAAATACTGCAAAGTCCCGAAACCGTTGAACTTAAAATAGGCCTCTTCCTCCGGTAAGGGGTAGAGACCTTGCAAAATCATTATTGCTAAAAACGTCATCATTTCGTCCCTATTTGTAGGAGACCAACGGTGAAAACGAGAGTGAATACCTACTTTGTTTTGCTCTCGCAACAAAGCAATTGTCTGTTCTGCGTACCTGTTGGTCTCCGTACAAAGTTGGTCAATAAAAGTAACGTCGAACATCTTGTCGAACATGTCAATGGGTCGAGTCTGTTTTGTCACATCAAAAGTAGGTCCAGATACACCAGTAAACTTCTCACGCTTTCCGTGAAAATCTGCCCTGTCCTTACTCCAAACGAAAGTGTAACAGTCATCGGGCACAATGTCGCGAATTGCGCGGTCATTCAACTCCTCCTCCCTCTGTAACACTTTCGCTTGGAATAGTGTCAAGTCACTGTCACAAGCGGGTTCTGTAAGAGCATTACGCTCATTTTGTGTTGTCGGGAAGAAGCTATCGTCGTTGTCGTCACCACTGTCACAAATTTCATCAGTCAGTCGCAACCACTCATTCATGACAAGGTCGAAACTTGTGTCGCCAACACCTGGAATAAACAAATGAGACTCATATTTTAAGATATACAAGATCCGTGCCTGTGTATTATGAAATATGTATATTGATACATATATTTCATAATATTCTGTATTCTGCCATCCTTAAAATATTGTGTATATAATTACCCATTGCTGAAGGTAGCCCCGAAACTTCAGTTGTGGCAACCACAACTTCAGCACCAACGTCTGGAAGAAGAAAGTGAAACAGCAGTTCAAATTAAAAATATATTTTTTATCAAATTGTTCCGATTCAGAAGAGCTGACAAAGTGTCGTCTTTTGTTTGTTGACCTCAGCATAGCGGTCGAAAACTTATCACTCGTCGATAACCAACTAGAGGAGCTGTACGGCGAATTGGGAACAGTGTCTATCTCTGACTTACCGATATCTCCCTCCGCTGGACCGGGCAAAACTTGGATAGCTGTAACAAACACGCTTGTCAGCAAACACATTTACAGTCTTATTATGTCCTCAAAAAAACTATAGTTTACCTTCAAACACAATTTCTACAGGGCATGGTTCTGTAACAAACAAAGAAAGATTTAGTATACACTAAAATAAAAAGATATTCAAAGGAGAAGATACTAAAATATACTGCTAATGCTAATAGCTATCTTACCAGCAGAAGGAGATACACCCGAAGTTGATGGCTCCGCTGCAGAAGGTTCGTCGGGACGAAGTTCTGTAACGAATAACGGTGTAACCTACATTGCACATCAAAGTACTTATAAAGAGTCTGAAGTAACCATCTTACCGAAACTCTGATCAGCAGGTGGAACGACCAATATACATGGCTGACGTTCCGGAGAATTCCTGAAAATAAATTATAAAAATTAAACACTATACTAAAATGTTGTTAAAAATAGAATAAGTAATGCAATCAATAACTAAACTTTGAAGCATATATTAACAGACTAACACCTGGCAGTCTAAACGTACTAGTACTGCAACTAATTGCGGTAAGGAAATGCTCACTTTGTCTGCCGTTTGCGCGGTGGCGCATCTGGCAAAAGCATTCGCTCCAGGTGCTCCTCACGCTTTCGTGGTATCGGCTCCTGTCGCGTAGCTGATCGTAGCGCAGCCGTGCGGCGCTGCGTTGGCTGCCTCTCTGCCCTGATCTGGCAGAGAGAGTCTTCCGAAGCAGCACTGCAAGCATTAAAACAGTTGCACAACATCGGAGGAGAAAAAGAAAATGAATAACACTACACGAAACACTAAAATGTTGTTAAAAATAAAATAATGCAATCAATAACTAAACTTTGAAGCATATATTAACAGACTAACACCTGGCAGTCTAAACGTACTAGTACTGCAACTAATTGCGGTAAGGAAATGCTCACTTTGTCTGCCGTTTGCGCGGTGGCGCATCTGGAAAAAGCGTTCGCTTCAGATGCTCATCACGCTTTCGTGATTTCAGCTCTTGTCGCGTAGCTGATCGTAGCGCAGCCGTGCGGCGCTGCGTTGGCTGCCTCTCTGCCCTGATCTGGCAGAGAGGGTCTTCCGAAGCAGCACTGCAAGCAATGAAACAGTTGCACAACATCGGAGGAGAAAAAAAGAAAATGAATAACACTACACGAAACACTAAAATGTTGTTAAAAATAAAATAATGCAATCAATAACTAAACTTTGAAGCATATATTAACAGACTAACACCTGGCAGTCTAAACGTACTAATACTGCAACTAATTGCGGTAAGGAAATGCTTACTTTGTCTGCCGTTTGCGCGGTGGCGCATCTGGAAAAAGCGTTCGCTTCAGATGCTCATCACGCTTTCGTGATTTCAGCTCTTGTCTAGCTGATGGTAGCGCAGCCATGCGATGCTGCGTTGGCTGCCTCTCTGCCCTGACCTGGCAGAGAGGGTCTTCCGAAGCAGCACTGCAAGCAATGGAATAGTTGCACAACATCGGAGGAATTTATATATCGTATATTAAATTGTCTTCCGAAATCATTCACTGCCGAAACTCGTTACTATTAATGTTGTATTTATATTAAATAATAATTATTATTATCATATAGGTAATTATAATAAATAACATAGATCTCTAAATACTAAATCATTTTACAATTTTAGTAATTAATGTTATTTTGTATAAGCGTGGATGTCTAATGATAGTGTAGTCTATGGATAAGTGTACATTTTATAAGAATGTTTATTTTATTTCTATTAAAGTATTATTTCTAGGTTTTGTGTTTTTTTGTCCTATAGTAGTAACACAGACTGCCTCGTTGGCCGAATGATCACAAGTGCGACTGCTTGGCAAGGGGTCTCGGGTTCGATTCCCTGGTCGAGCAAGATTTCCGGGTTTTTTTTTCAGAATTCTCAGTTGTAACACGCAGTCTGGAATTGTGCCCGATATATGACAATAGGCTTACCCTCTATTCCATGGGGCTCGTAATATAAATAGTAAAAAGTAGGTGTAACATTGTACAGCGGCATTAAGTGCCGTAGGTAATGTGCACCTTTGCCCACCCCTTCGGGGATAAAAGGCGTGATGTTAGTTATAGCCCTCAAATGCTAAACTCAATTAGGTAATTAACGCAGAATGCGTGCAGCTCTGCTTCATAAGGACGCCATGAAGCCAGCCATACAGAAAAGTCGATTTACTTCACTTAAACTATCCCGATGTCCCCTAGATGAGATAGGGAGTCCATCCACAAATGTCCTCCATCGAGACCGATCTTGAGCTTCACGCTTTGTCATTACGGTGCGACTCCAGGTTTCATGACAACGGCCACACCGATCTTTCATACGCTAATGGCACTGCGTCATTAAGAGGCTAAGCTGTAAGGCACAGTTTCCAGCAAAGTGGAGAGGTCTATGCCGGATAACATGTTATCGCATAACTCTGGATAATGTGCTCTGTGCTCACCAAAATCAAATCATTTTTGGAAAGACAACCCAGAAAATATCGAAAACAAAACAACCAACAAACATCCATCGTAGACCCCATCATCGCTTGTCACCACGCAAGATAGTGGTCAAACGTCAGTCCATCAAATATAAAAAAGATAATGAGGTAGAGGTTGGATAAAAGCCTATGTATCAAAATTGAAAATTAAGTATTTGACATTAATGGAATGACAGATGACAGGAGCAGGACAGTGATTGTTGCTAAGAGCTAGTTTTTGTTGTATTTATTTATTGTATTTGACTTCAATATTGTTAAATGAATATATTTCTATATTAAACAATACATTAAAACGTAGTATTAATTATTTAATATGTCTGATCTCAAAGTCTGTCGCATATGCTTGTGTAAAGACGTAAAAATATATAGTTACGATCGTTTTCATTTAAAGCAATATTATGAAGAAGTTTTAAGGAAAAAAGTAAGTAATTAAATCATATTGATCAACATCGTACTTAGATAACACAATACCTGAGTATATTTCGCTTAAAACGACAACTACTATTCTAATTTTGTATACAAATTGTTTGATTCAATTAGTTCGCTCAAGTAGAGTAATCGACTTTTAATTTGCCACCTTAAACTAGCTTGGATCGATGCCAAACTGAGTATTTAAATATTTAGACGTTTATATACAAATGCCCTTAGAATACCAGGTCAATGTGTTTTTGTAAACAAAAACATTGACATTAGAAAAGAATTTATTGAATTAATAATAAAATTTAACACTGGCTGCTTTTTAGTTTAGTTTTGAATAATTCTGCCAGGTGGCACAGTATGTTTTTGTTTCATTGTGTTGTTGTTCTTACCTTTCCTATGAGTATGTGCAAGTAAATATAATTACCTATTTCCAAGATTACAATCTTTTATTAGAATTCCCAGCCCTTAACTCAATAGAATTAATAAATTTCCATATATTATATTAACTATTTATATATGCCCTTGATGAAGAACATGATCTGCAGCATGTTCAAAAATGAATTTTTGTTTTCACAGATAAATAAACAAGATGGTCTGCCAAACTGCTTCTGTTATGAATGTGCTAGCATGTTGTACAAGTTCCATAAGTTCAAGGAAAAATGTCACAGAGGCGAGCAGGCTCTTACTGAATTATTATGGAATGGGCCTGTAAGTATTTATTTAATGTGTTATTCTTAAATAAATATACATTGTAATTCGTCAAACACCAAACTACTTGTTAGAAAAGATATCATAGCAACCAATTCTTTACAGATTACACTATCATCGATATCCAAAATAGACAGAGAGAGCAACAACTTAAAGTCTTCTATAAATATACTTTCTACAAACAAAAGAGTTAGGACTTACACGATAAAGAGTAAAACATTAAAGTTATTAAAAAAAGAGATCAAAAATGTCGAACCGGAATTCAAAATAGACTATGATAGTGATTCTTCTGTGGACAGTAAAAACTTAGCAGAAATAAAAAACGAAATGTTATATGAAAAAGAAGAATGCAAAATGTCCAAAGAGACGATTAATAATGATTTCGAAAATGTAATAACAGGTCTAGAAACTGATGATATTTTCGATGACAATGAAGATATAGAAGAATCGAAACAAACTGAAGAATTAAATGACTTTAAAGACATAAAAGAAGAATCTACAATAGACAATAATATCGACCAAGAGAACAATTATAATATAGAAATTGAAGAAATTAAAATAATCCACAAAAGAAAGAAAGCAAAAAAGAAGAATGTAGAAGTGAAAAGTAAAAAGTTTGAGGTTTTAGGTACAGAAGATAATAAGTTAGATCCCAATCATTGGTTAAAGATTAATTTAAGTGAAGAGGAGGCTTTAGAAGGCTTTACAGCGAGGGCAAAAGATCGCAAGTACTTGTCTGCGGCGTATCAATGTAATGATTGTTATAAGGGATTCTCTAAAGAGGATATGCTGAATAGACATTTTAAATTAAGACATTGTGAGGTGAGTTTTACCTGCTGTATGTTTTAGGTGCATAAGATGCGGCTACCACGCCACTGCTGCGAAACGTGTGCCTTTTTTTTTAAAGGGGGGAAAATCATCGAATGACTGCTCCCGCCTGGGTGAGGCGGGAGGGAGTGTCAGACTCTTACTGACTAAAAACCACCCCGTTCCTTCTCCTGCACGTCGAGCCGGAGCCCCGGTTACCCGTTAGGTTCTCCGCGACAAGCGCAACGTGTGGCTAAGGACTCACGGGCGGCGCGATTATCTCCCACGCCCGCCGCTGTTGCGGGCCCGCAGCCTTTGTAGAATACAGGAACTCAACTGATTGTTTAACCGCCCACCCGTCTTACGATAATCAACCGCCAAGTTTGCGGGCGTTAATTGCAACAGCGGTCTCGTGAGTTTTGAAAATTCCGTCTCCATTCCGCCTCCGCGGTTTTTTTTAAATTACTTAATGTTTTTAGTAAAAAGAGTTTGTTATTGTGTTGGTATTGTTTTTTGTTTTTATTCAATATAAGCAATGCAGGTGGTATAACACATACTTGCTATGTCCTGCTTGGGTTATAGTGTACCTACCTATATGTTAAGGAAAAAAAAAGACTCCCATCATATTATGATAATAATAGAAATAGTTTGTAAAATGAGCGTCTCTCGCCATCAAACGTCAAAGTTTGGCGAGTTTAGATTTAAGGCAATACCTATGTAAAATTTCAATGAATAAATTTGTTAAAAAAAAATAGATCGCGTCGTAGGTCCTTAGCCTATGGCGAATATATCACAGTATCACGGCACGGTGTCGTCTACTTAACCCCTAATGTCCACGATGCGTCATTAGACGAATGCCTAAATGATACAACCTACAAATGACGATAAGTAGATTGTATGAGGAATGAGTGAGGCTACATTGCCGCTACGTGGACACAGTTACAATTGTTTCGATTTGATGCAAGCATCGTTTAGCAATCGTCAACTCGTGAAAGCGTGCGCATGGCGTACGGTTTACATGGACGTTTGGTCTTAGCCGAGTCACCCGGGTGTGATGGCTATGTTCGGCACTATTAGGGCATTTTCGACTTTTGACTTTCTTACATCTTTTTTATATTAAAATTTTCTTGAGACATAATAAATTAATTTATTATTATCTTTTTTTCAGTCTGTAGGACCAATAGTGTGTCGTTTCTGCCACATGCGTTTCAAATGGAAATGTTATCTAACCAGGCATATAACGCAGCACTATACTAAGTACAAATGTCTACGGTGTGATCTCATATGTCCTTTGAAGTAAGTATCTAATTCTTTCATATATTTATTAAATCCTATTCTCGAGAATTTTTATCTACTCGATTGGTCAGAAAACTGCCTCGTTGGCCTCGTTGACAGAGTGGTCGCAATGCGACCACTCTGTCAACTCTGGGCAAGGGGTCTCGGGTTCAATTCCCGGGTCGGGTAAAGTACTACTGGGTTTTAAAAAAGATCTCAGTATTAGCACAGAGTCTGGAATTGTGCCCGGTATAATAATATGGCCTCCTATTACATAGAACTGAACATAAATAGTGAAAAGTGGGTGTTCCATTGTAAAGTGGCATTAAGTGCCATAAAGCGCACCTCTGCCTACCCCTTAGGGGTTAAAAAGGCGTGATGTTATATATGCGCAGAGAAGTATTGGTTGCATTGCCTATGAAAGTCAATACTCTACATGTAAATGCTTTTAAACACTGATCTCAGAGCCGTATTATCCCTTAGGCCAGTTTACAGAAGGGCGCCGCGAGATGCACTGCCCAGTGTTGGCGACATCAAAAAAAGTTAGTGTCGCCTATGAGGTGCTTGTATAAAACGCTTTCTAGGATTTATCCGCCAGTGGTTGTATTTGAGAAAAAGTATATTCAACTATCTTATAACAACAAAACAGGTTTTTTTTTTTTATGGCATAAGCCGGTAAACGAGCAGACGGATCACCTGATGGAAAGCAATCGGCGTCGCCCATGGACACCTGGAACACCAGAGGCGTTACAAGTG